CTCTCACACTCTCTCACACTCTCTCACTCTCTCACACACACACACAAAAACATTTTTTTTTTAAATCAAGAAATTGAATAAATCTTACAGATTTTTACAGTGATTTTTTCATATTTATTTATTTTCAAATTATGTAATTTAGTAAGTATTGTGTGAAATAAATATAAATTTAATTTGCCTTTAAAAAATCCATATCCACTAATGGAAAGACTAATAATCTGGAAGTGAGAGTAGAGTGGGACCTGTTTGAGAGCCACAGCGACGCCGGCGATGGCGTGATTGTGCGGGCCGCCTTGAAGTGAAGGGAACACAGAGAAGTTGACCTTCTCCTCCAGATCGTACATGACCTCTTTGCCCTTCTTATCCAGCGAGCGAACGCCCTTCCGGTAGAATATAAGCCCCGCCCTGAAGGAGGAGCCAGAGCAGAGGAGGCGGAGAAACGGTTAATGATGGCGTGTACTGTGCACAATTTGTGACCCTGCACCACAAAAACCAGTCTTAAGTGTCAATTGCTTAGAAATTGATATGCATTATCTGAAAGCTGAATAAATAAGCATTCCATTGATGTATGGTTTGTGAGGATAGGACAATATTTGGCTGAGATACAACTATTTGAAAATCTGGAATCTGAGGGTGCAAAAAAATCTAAATATTGAGAAAATCATCTTTAAAGTTGTTCAAATGAAGTTCTTAGCAATGCATATTACTAATCAAAAATTAAGTTTTGATATATTTATGGTAGGAAATTTACAACATATCTTCATGGAACATGATCTTTACTTAATATCCTAATGATTTTTGGCATAAAAGAAAAATCTATAATTTTGACCCATACAATGTATTGTTGGCTATTGCTACAAATATACCCCAGCGACTTAACACTGCTTTTGTGCTCCAGGCTCACATATAATCTGTATGCATGCAACATCCAAATCATCTACATTTTCTAGAAATGTGCAGTGCATATTGCATGAGATCCCACAATGCAATGTGCTAAAACTGACCTTCAGCTACCTCAATCTGCTGTGATTTTGAGCTCTCTTTTTCTCATTTGATCAGACGGCCAAGTTACGACATTTTTACACAAAACTGGACTAAAAAAAAAAAAAACACCAAGCAAGCATTTTATTTCATTATTTTTTATGTAATGTTGTCATGTTACAATGTAACTTACTGCTTCTGTTCTGCAGTAAGATTTTTTTTCTCTTCTGCTCACCAAAGCTGCATTTATTTGATCAAAAATACAGTAAAAATTGTGAAATATTATTGCAATTTTAAACAGCTGTTTTCTATGTGAATATGCGTTAAACTCTAATTTATTTCTGTGATGCGCAGCTGTATTTTCATCTGTATTTTAGTGTCACATGATCTTCAGAAATCATTCTAATATGCTGATTTGCTGCTCTGTGTGAGAGTGAGTGTGTGTGTGTGTGAGAGTGTGTGTGTGTGTGCTGCTGACCTTGTGTTTATCTTGCAGTAAAATCAGGCCACAGTGAATTCGAGCAACAAACATGAAACGCACACAATCTCAGCCTCCAGCAGAAAACCTGGAGCACGTTGCACAAAAAATTAAGAAAAAAACTCTCAGAGATGCTTGAACCGTAGCGAGTGCCCTACATAGACAGCACATGACAAAGTGAAAGACGCATGCAATTCATCTTAGGAGGCATGACGTTTGAGCCTTCACGAGCTGTCTTTGTAGGGCACTCACTACGGTTCGGATCAGAACACATGCAAGCCTAATAAATGAGAGGAGAGTCGTCCTGAACTGAGTGACTGCTGAATGGGATTATGGGTATTTGACTGTCCATCAAACATGTTTCATCAGTGTTAATGAGAACAATCATCATTCTTACTGCTGTTTGTGCATGTGTGAAAGAAGATGTGATTAAAAGCTGACAGTGACACTGCAGTGTGTGTGTGAGTGAGTGAGTGAGTGAGTGAGTGAGTGAGTGAGTGAGTGTGTGT